CCCTAATAATTTACATTTAAACATCATTAATTTAGCAAACACAGTTATCCCCAGCAACTTGCAAAAGAGAATAAGTAATAATATTAACATGATCATATAGATTCATCTCAGAGAGAAAAAAAGGTAGGCTACTATAGGTTACACACACTCACACACACAAACACACATAAGTTACTTGTTATTTCTGCTTGTAAGCAGGTCTAATGTCTTAGAAGCAATACTGTCATTCATTATTTGTTTAATCTAAATATTTGTAATTTATTGTAGTGCAGATAACTTCAGCTTTGAATGAATGCCTACAGTATGGTACAAAAGAAAATACATTTTATACAATTTCATGCTCTTGTATTTAATTACATTTAATTTAGTCTCTTTTCGTACTTTCTGTCAGGTTTGATTGAGGTTTATAGTGGTAATTATGTATAGACTCAACGTTGAGTCTGTGAACGTCCATCGAGACCCCAATCGGCTTCTCTTTCATTGCGCCTCACTGACAGGCACCCAATAGTTTCAATGTTGTGAGTAATGATGGGACATCTGTCCAGTGAAATGTGTGGTTATTCCCTCTGTATGGACAGAGCCTCCAAGGGCACTCAAATCACTGAGACTCTGACAGGACACACACCTCCCCGCCACACCCTCTCCATCTCAACGTGAACAAAGGCAGACAACAGAATAGTTGTCTGTCTCTATAACCCACTCTAATGGGACTTAAACTATACAATTGAGTACAATTGAAACTAAGTTAGTACAACAAATAACTAATTGTAAAACTCGCTGACACCTTCAAATCCAATCAAACAGACTCATTATGGACTTCTTGCTTAGTTACTGTATTAATTTACTTTTTTGTGCCTGGGAAAAGGGTTTCATGTTCAGGCCATTTACATTCACTGGGTAATTGGGCATGTACTAAGTTATCACTTAAAGTTATGGTGTGTGGCTTTCATTTTTAAGTGATTTAAAACAAAATAAATTGCATTAAAGTGCATGAAATTGCATAATTTTGCATAGCCCTTGCAGAATATGTAATGTTAATAATTTGAAAATGTAAAAAAAAAAAAAAAATACTTTGTGAATTGTATATATTGTAAAATTGTACTTATTTTGTCTTTTGGGAAAAGTAAATATCTTGTGTAGCTTCTGAACAGCAGTAGTACATTAATATATATATATATATATATATATATAAACAAAATATGAAAAATGTAATGTACACATCAAGTTTACACTCCTAGCTCTCAAAGTCAGCATGAAACGGAAGTTGCAATAGTGTTTTCTTCCTTATTGTGACGTATATCCCAGTAAAGCTGTTTTCGGGAAAAAAAAATATGTAGGGTGGGCCTTGATTTTGTCCATTGGGAATCGGTTGGATGGTTGTGGTATGATATTGCCGTGATGTCATGTGAGTGGCAGGTTGTCCCGTCCACGCGCCAGTAAACACATCATCATAGAAGAGATGTCGCTGCAAGAGTAAGGGGAAGTTATTTTATGTTCCATAAAAAAAGAATAGTCAACTTCGATTTCATGTTGACTTTAATGTAAGATGTTGAGATCTTAAAGTCATACAGTCACTGTTGGAAGGGGGCTTAAATATACAGGAAAACTAAAGAATGTGCCAGCAGGATTTTCTTATAAACAGTGGGCTTATTACAATTCTATATGTAAACCTTTGAGCGGCTTCATTTGTGTAACTTTAGTTATTATTTTGTCTTGTGGACTATACAATATACACTCACTGGCCACTTTATTAGGTACACCTGGCTAGAACCAGGTCAGACCCCCTTTTGTCTCATTGATATTTGAAGTGTATCTCATGGGGAGGGATAAATAATAAATAACAATTGCTTTAGCTATAATTCAGTAAAACCCTGGGTTTGGACCAGCCCAAGTTCCAGAATCAAATCACAGAGGGTGCTTCTGAAATCAGTGTGGGTATTTGTGCCTCATCATTTGCTATGGTTATCACGGTCAGTCATCGCAATTTCAAGAGTGAATCCTGCATTTACTGTATATGCGGATTTGCCTATGCCTTAAAGCGTTTACATGGCCGCTTGGCATGCATTGGATAACAAAAGTTTTCTTCAAATTATACAATATGAATTATTATATCAGCACAGGGATGTCCATGTGGGGGCGCAGGACCTGGTTCCACCACATCCCAAAGGTGCTTTAATTGGTCTGGTGACTGTGGAGACCATTTGAGAATAGTAAACTCCATTGCATATTCATGTTCAAGAAACTAGTTTTAGATGATTTGAGATGTTGCATTATCCTGCTGGGCTTAGCCATCAGAAGATGGTAAGGGATGGACATGATGGTCAGCAACAATAATCAGACAGGCTGTGGCGTTTAAACAACGTTCATTTGGTACTAAGGGGCCGAAAGTGTGGCAAAAAAATAAATAAATAAATAAAAAATTATGGATTATCTAATAGCTTCCAAGTTTAAACGAATCCATTAGACTTGAATTGTGATGATTTGCCTTATAATGATATAATGCTTTATAATGAATGAGGGTAAAACATATATAAAAATGGTAATACATAAATGTATTCTTTCTATCCTTCCAGATTTAAACTATTAAATTACAATTACATTTTTAGTCAGTATTACTGCTATGAAAGCCCAATATTTTTTTTTAAATTAAATCTAATCTTAAAGGGATAGTTCACTTTGAAATGAATTTTTGATATGTTTTAGCTTACCTCAAGGGCATCCAAGATGTAGGTGTCTTTGTTTCCACAGTATATTCAATTTTGATATTTTTAGGACAAACTGTTCTTGTCTGTCAGTCATATAATGGAGGTCTATGGTCACCACCTCAAAGAGCATGCACAGAGGAGAGAAGTCCAAATTACACATGATTTAATGACTCGTAAATGTATGTACACATTGATGGCCTAAGACAAGAAACGAGCGTTTTGTGTGAGAAAACGAACAGTATTTATATTTATATTTACCTCATGTAACCATAGCCATGTCTAACTGATCTGAGAGCGCGGATGCCTTCGGTCTGCGCATGCGCCAAAAAGCACCGGAAGTGATCTCTCGTGCGTTTACGTCACTCATTGTTTACACAGAGATTTCGGAAGTTTTACCTTTCACTGTGATGATCTAAACATATTTAGATATACAGAAAACCGCAATGGAAGACGATTTCGATCAACAGAAAACGTTGAATTGCACAGACCAAAAGCATCCGCGCTCTCAGATCACTTGGACATGGCTGTGGTTACAAGGTAACGAGGTAAAACGATATAAATACTGTTAGTTTTCTAACACAAACCGCTCGTTTCGTGTCTTGGGCCATCAATGTGTACTTACATTCACGAGTCATTAAATCATGTTTAATTTTGACTTCTCTGTGCATGCTCTTTGAGGTGGACCCCATGGATCTCCATTATATGACTGATAGACGATAACGGTTTGACCTAAAAATAACAAAATTGAAAATACTGTGGAAACAAAGACACCTACATCTTGGATGCCCTTGAGGTAAGCCAAAACATATCAAAAATTAATTTCAAAGTGAACTATCCATTTAAATGTGGTTTTATGCACACTGTAATCTGCAGCTAATAAAGCAATTCACAGTCTTTTTTCCTCAGTCCAACAGTATGTTTATATAACACCAAATTATTCCCAAGACGAGAACGCTAATCCACAAACTGTGTGTAACGTAAACTGTAACGGACTGTCTATAAAACTCTAAATGCTGACGCTGACCACTGACATCACTGCCATTATATGATAGGATGACCTGCCTCGCGTGATCCAAGTTAGAGCCACAGACCCTCGTATCTCCCAGTAATAAGACCATCTCTCCTGCATGCCTAATGCACTGCGACTGGCTGATTAGATATTTGCAGTAACGAGCAGTTGAACAGGAACAAAGTGCCCCGTGAGCGTATATACGTATGTAAACATCTGTTATTTGAAATAGCTTATTCAGGACCAAAAAAAAAAAAAATGAATAACAACATGAGATTTTGTATAATCTTATTTAGTTAATTATTAATATTTAGCATATTCTGCAAGGTTTATGTAAACTTATGAGCAAAACCAATTTTGGTGTGTAACCAAAATATTTGTGTATTATTTCTATTCATCTAAACAGGCTTTTCTATGGCAAGTGCAAAGCAAGAAGGTAAATATTTGATTTTGTAATCTGCAATTGTAATAACTATAACAACAATCAGCATGTTCTCCATAAATTTGACTCTCAATGTTTTCTTTCTATTTCCTTTCCAGTGATCTTCTTTTACGGGGCCCTCGAAATAAAATGCATTCAATTCAAATAAATGTATTATTACAGATTAAACTGGGCCTTGTTTCAGACCGTAGAGTCATCAAACACTTTTATGGTGACCTCTTCCTCTCTTAAATCCAAAAGCCCTGACTTAAGAAAATGCAGGTCTAGCACCTCCAGCATACACTGAGACTTTGGGACAGGGGCGGCTTTATCTATCATGCACCCGCCGTGATTGATGGCACAATAGCAGCTCAAGGAAAACAAATCCACAGACACTTTTCAGGCTGTCGCTGGAACTCAAACCTGGAGCAGCAACAGAAGGACACGGCGGCACGCCGGAGCCCAGCGCTGACAGCCTATGATAAAGCGGCCTTCCTTAACTAAACTCGTAAAGCACGGGACAATAAAACTCAATCTTCTGTAAAATCCAATTAAGTCATTATCTGACTGATTGTATCTTTAATTGAAAACAGAAGTGACAGTAAATTTCTGTGATATATCAGGATCAATCGATACTGCTGTACAATCTGCTCTCCAGAAGTGATTTATAATGTCAAAGCCATATAGGTAACTCCACATTCTTCTCACTAAAACCACTGGGGGATGAAATTAAGAGTAAGTGCATTTAATAAAAAAAAAACAAGACGGTCGGGTTATTGATTACAGCAGATGGGGCAGAATCGAATGAATGTTTTGAGGGCGCAGAGCAAAGAAAATACAAGTAATTTTCATTTCGGGTTTTAGATCTCATCAATAATGATTTTATTTCCACTGAACATGAGAGTGTATAAACACAGAACGACTGCAAATTAGCTTTTGCGTCGTTTTATAATCATAACAATAATAAAAATATCTGTAACATCATGGTGTCAGAAGACACCAACACCAAAATACAGTGGGTCAATTTATACGTCTGGAAAACAAATTAACACGCGAATCAAACTGAGAACTGTTAGTTTAACAAAATCACAAAATGGAAATGCTTAAAAATAATTACATTTTACATTCATTTTAGAAAAAAAAAATGTGTTACCCATTACAATTAAGTTGTATGCAAGTAAATAAGTGCAAAAGATTGTCGAAGCATATTAAAGGGCCATGCATTATAAAAAGGAAATGTAAAAAAACAGATTACGCTTCACATATGGCTCATTTCAATCAGCTCAAGATGCTGAAAAATGACATCATTTGTAGTTAAATGTACATCTGTAACAAACAGAGCCTAGACAAAGTTGTGTGTCCCTCTTCTCCTCTATTTGGGACTTGACTGAGGACACGATCTGTGCCAACACCATTAAAATCAAGGGCACAGATTCATTTTATACAAAGAAAGCTCAGAAGAGCACTGCACATTAGCTGGATCATGCACAGGAAGTTAAATGATTCCCTTTAGTGATGGCCATAAATAAACAAGCCGTTCGCTGTGAGATTGAAGCATAATTGAATAGTATCTCTTCTAACCCAACTGTCCCGCACAACACTATGGAGATGCTTGAGAAGCCCTCATATACTTTACAGCATGAAGGTCATGGAAAGGAAGTTAGATTATCCATTAGGCCAATGACAGCAATACGGAGCTTGAACCCATATGTGACAATAAATGGATCTGCCATTTCTTTCAATGGCTTTCTGCTAGAAAGCAAAAGTAACTCATTTTAGTTTTAAAATCAAATTAAACTGAAGCTATCAAACTGTGTGAAACATGGTAAACGGCATTTCTGATAATCACTGAGAAACTGATTTCTGCCTCTATAAAAATCTGAAAGAATTACCCCAACAAAGTTTAACACCACATTGATCAACCTGATCAGTATTAACATTAAAATGTTGAACAATAAGGTAGGATTTGGTTAGAGAATCACTAAACTTTTAGAAAACAGCAAAAAAAAGGGAGATTGGTGCAGGTGAGGGTGTTTTACTTGGTTGCCCCATCTATGACGGAGTTGACGGAGAAGGTTCCAGACTCTGAGCTGCTCTCACACTCCAGCTTGTTCTCGGTGTTGATCATTGAGCTGTCTTGAACTCCACTGGAGTAAGCTGAAATAGGATGCATCATGACATCAGATTAACAGTGTTTTGTTTATTACAGAAGACATTTTGTACCAGAGCATAATCTGGTTATGGGATCTGTGATAAACGACACCCAAAGCATTCATGTAACATGAGCTTTTTGGTTCCCGACCCAGAACAATAGTGTCAAAAATGTATTTGGACACACTTAAAGATGTTTGAATGTCTTTGCATTAGAAACAAATATAAAGCCAAGTAGCATTTGTCAGAAATATGAACATCCTTAAACAAAAGATATTATTGTTCAAGAACAAGAAAAAAAGTGCATACCTGTAGTTACTCGGATAGGTTAACTTCAGAGTCACCGTGAACTTGTAAGTTTAAGTGTGAGTGTAAGTAACTTGCTAAATGTAAACTTGAGGGCAAATAATTGAGACGTTTGGGATCAGTACGATTTTTAAATGTTTTTAAAAGTATCACCAAGGTTGCAATTATTTGATCAAAAATACATTAATACAGTAATAATGAGAAATATTATTATAATTTAAAATGTTTTCTATTTTGATATGTTGTAAAATCTAATGTAGCCAATATTATCTGTGTTGAAAGCAGTTGTGCTGCTTAATATGTTTGAAAAAAATGACACATTTTTTTAGGATTCTTTGATAAATAGAAAATTCAGAATTTTTTGTAATAATGTAAATCTTTACCGTCACTTTGGGATCTTTAATGTATCCCTAATGGATAAAAGTATTCATAAATTTTAATAAAAAATCTTACAAACCCCAAACATTTGCATACTAGAATAACTTTGAAAGCAGATGCAATGAAATTGCACACGCCTTTTTCTATTTCTAAGACGATTTTAAACGAGTAGTTCACTTTTAAAAAAAAACTTTTGCTGATAATTTACTCACCCCCATGTCATCCAAGATGTCCATGTCTTTCTTTCTTCAGTCGAAAAGAAACTAAGGATTTTTCTCCATATAATGGACTTCAGTGGGAAACAGTTCAAGGTCCAAAAGACACTTTCAGTGCAAACTGTTCAAAGGGCTTTTAACTATTCCAGACGATGAATAAGGGTCTTATCAAGCGAAACGATTGCTCATTTAATAAATAAATAACAAAGTTTAAGTTTTATAAGCTCAAATGCTCGCCTTGCTCTGTTCTGTGACGCACGTTTGTGACTCTCCTGTTTGAACTCGTTCATCAAAATTAACAAATCTTTTTCCGAGTCATTTGATTCATTCAACGAACGAAACGAACGAATTGACTCGGAAAAAGATTCGTTCATTTTGATGAACGAGCTTGAACAGGACAGTCACGAACGTGCATTGCAGTACAGAGCAAGGCGAGCATTTGAGCTTATAAAACTATCGTTTAAAGCCCTTTGAAAAGTTTGCAGTTTGTACTGAAAGTGTCTTTTGGACCTGAAGTGTCTGAAGTGCATTATATGGAGAACAATCCTGGAATGTTTTCATCAAAAACCTTAATTTCTTTTCGACTGAAGAAAGAAAGACATGGACATCTTGGATGACATGGGGGTGAGTAAATAATCAACAAAAGTTTTTTCAAAAGTGAACTAATCCTTTAAGTATTTTCGGGGGCAATTGCATTTAAAATCTCATCAACTTAATCTAACTACATAAAATAAATAAAGAAAGAAAATTTAAAAAAATTCAGCGAACAAGCTGAATCTTTGCACAGAACAGTGTTGGAAACAATGCTGTCAAAGTAATTCTGACCTTGAGTTTATCAGCTTCTCCAGGCAAACCAAACAGCATCAATTAACTGTATGAGCAGTGCTGTCAGCTCTCAACATTACAACAAAGTAAAGACAGTGGTGCCTTCAATAAATCTCACACTGCAGCAAGTTCTGGCTACTTTGGCAAACTCACTCAAGCTGAAGATACGCGTATTGAGCCAGTCGGACTGCTGAGTGAGGAGGACACAGCTATTGAGTGCAGGACGGGTCTGTACTGTGCTGACCTTCTCCGGGATATCAGCGCGTAGATTGATAACTAAAAGAGCATTGTGATATTATATACTATACACGATATACTATACCTTTAGAACCACATGCTCTGTTTAACATTAAATAAACCCTGATAGTTATTATGTTACATTTTGAACCCAAAGACCAAATCGTCTGCTTAAATAAATGATTATGTAAATGTAAAACCGAAACACTAGCAGCACAAATGTTATAGTTCCCAATAAAACTGGATGGTAGTTTGTGCATTGAGCCAGGTCAGCTCTCATCTCAATGTGCATATGAAGCTAATACATTACAGTCTCTACTGATTCTATCAAAGTTATGAGCGTCGGGAGGGGCAACGCACACAAATCCTGTTCAGCTGCTTTCCTGACCTTCATAACCCGAGAAAAGCAGCATAAAGGCTCTTACTGTGGATCTTATCCCTTCCTGCCCTCCCTCTTTTTCATCTGCGCTGCTCTGGCGTGGAGGTAATTAAGGGGCGCTGGCGAAAAGGAGTAATTTTTCTCCTCATTAACTTCCTGATTGGTTTCAGGCTACAAAACTTTGCGCTCCGCCTGCAGTTTGTCACCAATTCCAAACTGGCCAATCGTTAATACTAATGTTTGTGTAGCTAAACTGCACCGGCGCTCTCTGTACAACAATAATACATGAGCGAGGGTGAAAGAGGAGGGGCTGGAATTAGCCGTGGCTGTGTTAATTCTGAGGGAGTTCATCAGGGGGAAATCTATGGTGTAATTAAAGGGAAGATCTCGCGGGTGAGTGGACAGGTCGTTTGTGGGGACGGTAAATCAGCAGTGGGGCTGTTCAGCGAGCGGACATGTTCTGTGTCACAGCTTCGTTGCCTTTGATTATCATTGTATTAGTGCTTAATATAGACTAATGTTAGATCAGCAGTAAACACTCTGTAATACAGACAATCAGGCTTTTAAACACGTAGATAAAACCTAAATAATAAAATAAGTAAATAGAGTTTGTGTACTTTTAATATACAGTACAGTGCATCTTCTTCACTACAGTTTTATAACTATCAATCGAAATAAGTTTCATTTTAACACAAAACCTACAGCGGTCATGCCGGGCGACCATCTTAAAGGGATACTGTAGTTCACTTTGAAATTATTTTTTGATATGTTTTAGCTTACCTCAAGGGCATCCAAGATGTAGGTGTCTTTGTTTCCGCAGTATATTCAATTTTGACATTTTTCGGTCAAATCGGTGTTGTCTGTCAGTCATATAATGCAGGTTTAGGGGGTCCACCTCAAAGAGCATGCACAGAGAAGTCAAAATTAAACATGATTTAATGACTCGTAAATATAAGTACACACTGATGGCCTAAGACACGAAACGAGCGTTTTGTGTGAGAAAACGAACAGTATTTATAGCTGGTAACAACAGGTACAAAACTATATAAATACTGTTCGTTTTCTCACACAAACCGCTCGTTTCGTGTCTTAGGCCATCAGTGTGAACTTATATTTACGAGTCATTAAATCATGTTTAATTTTGACTTCTCTGTGCATGCTCTTTGAGGTGGACCCCCTAAAACTGCATTATATGACTGACAGACAACAACGGTTTGACCGAAAAATGTCAAAATTGAAAATACTGTGGAAACAAAGACACCTACATCTTGGATGCCCTTGAGGTAAGCTAAAACATATCACAAATTCATTTCAAAGTGAACTATCCCTTTAAGACAGAAAAACCAGCTTAAACTGAAGTGGGTTCTTTCAGAAGGGAACACATTGGATAAGAATGACATTTATGAAACTTTCATTAAGTTGCCAAACAAGAAGTTTCCTACACTCTGGCGGTAACACAAGTAGTGCAAAAAAAAAAAAAAAAAAAATAATAATAATAATAAAAACCACACGCGTCTGTCAAGTGTAAAACATTATTGAAAAAAAGGAGGATTTAATTTCTGTATGCTGTTCAAAAAGTGCTTATTCTCCCATCTGAACTTTTGCCCTATTCACCCTTGTTCGGCTGACTATCTTAGATTTCCAAACTATTAAACAGTCTTTGTGTGCTTTAACAAAAGGAAGCTTTTTTTTTTTTTTAGAAAAAGAGCATGAAAAGGGGAGGGGAAACAGTGAAAGAAGCTCAATCATTTCAGGCAGTTTGGAAAAGGTGAACAAAAGCCCAGATGTGAGAGAAGATGGTAATTCAGGGTTGATCTATTGTGGATAAGCTTTTTGCTCTGCAACTCATATACTGCCAGCACTGGGCCATGAGGGTCCATAATGCCTTCACTTAGATAAACACACAGAGTTGCATAAAGATAACACACACAGGCGGGCACACACGCGCACACACATTTACATGCTCGAACGTGTATACAGATGCTCTCATACACACATGCTTATTAAGAATAAATGTCACTCTATTAGTCCAAAAGTCAGTGTTAAGATGTGCATTTTTGCTCAACATAGGTTATAGGCTGATATTAGAGGTCGGTAGGGAGTTGAGATTGTAATGCTACTGTATGTCAGCACCCGAGGCTTTTTATCAAATCGAAAAAATAAATTACAACAGATTAAAATGACATAAATGTACTTGCGAAACCAATTATCAAACGTTTTTTTGGTAAGATCTCATTAAACAGGTCCCTAAGAGAGCATTCCATGTAAAATTGCTCTTACATCAAGAGCAGAGTAGCTCAACAAGACATGATTTAAAAACATTCATTTAATTTATCAGTATTAGTAGATATTGGATTTTAATTGTACACGTGCATATTTGAAAACAAATCATATGCCAATCTCAAAATGAATGTTCATTTTCCATTCTATACATAATATTAAATAATAATAAACAATAGATTTTAGATTTTTATTTCAACAAAATAGTACAGAATCGCAATAGAGTGGTGCAGAGATTAAGTCAGAACCCGGAAGACTATATTCTCCGCTGGTTTCTTCAAGATTTTCCTATGGGGTTTTATAATGTGGTCTTTCAGATTATGAGTAAAATAAAGCTTGTGGTAAACAACTGTGGTAAACTTGACAATAGTGTTTTGTTCTACAAC